TAAAACCACTCTTGGCCGAAGGAGTTGGATCGTTCAGTTATTGTCAATAAAATACCTTCATCTGTGTTCAAGTCAAGCAGCATTCCTGCAAACTTCAGGGATTTTTTTTAACGTTGAGTTTTTTTCCTGCTTTACTGGCAGTTTTCTTTGCAATGCCAGCCAGCGGGAATATTCCATTCCTTTCAAGCTTTGCATATTTCTAAATCACTCTTTCATTATCAGCTTCAGCTTGTTTATCAGAGCAAGTTTTCCACATCTCTGCTGTTTACCTTCAGCCAGTTTTTAGGTTTTTGTTTATCTCTGCTGGAAGAGTCCATGTTTATTTCTTGTTTTTGAGTTTAATAATTCATAAATTTAGAGAAAGTATTCTATCCTGTTTTGGTATGCTGCTATTAAATGGAACATCTTCCCAACAACTTCCTTATCATCCTGCTTGTATAATAAACTTGGGGTTTAATTTGGTCATTTGTCACAGTTCCAATAGTTTTAACCTTTTTTTCCCTTCACTTATTGTTTTCCTTTTCTTTTCCTTTTTTATCCAGTTATTACATTAGCAAAATAACAAAAAGAAGAGTAAAAGTGACTGGTGTATGCACAAGTTAGGGACAATTATTTCAACAGTTTTTGTATACTGTCCATTTCTCCCACAGGTTTTCCCATTTTGATTGTTGATGTTTTAACAGTATGTGAGTTTTTTTATGTTCTAGATTTTCCAGTTATCTAATGGTGGAGAGTTGGCATTGTACCTTTTCTGGGCAATTGCCTTTGTTTGAGGCTCCCAACAGAATCTTATACAAATATAGGTCATTTTTTGGTGTGGTGATTGCTGCTTAGCATCCCAGCTATAGAACTGTACATGTTTCAGGTACATCATAGTGTGGGGTAGTCTGAACTTTCTCTTTTTCTTGGGCGTTATGGAAAACCTTACAATAATTTTCCAACAAAATCTTTTCCATATTCTCGAACTAGATGTACCTTGTTGCATCTCTCAAATATCGTACCACAAGTCACTTATTTCCACTCCTAATTCTTTTCCCGTTTATCTTTTATGTATTGTGTGTAGTCTTGCTGTTAGCCATCACGCTTTGTAGAGTTTTGATATAAATTTTCCAGGTATGTTTTTTTATATTGTTTTACTAATATTTCTGTAATTGCATTTATTTCTCCTGGGAGACCTGGTCGTGCTTTATTTTAATACTATTCTTGAATCTGAAGATACATATAGAATTCTTGTTTATCTAAATCAAACTCTTGTTGTACAGTCTAATAACTCTGGTAGCAGAAATTATAGTCTTTGGACTGGAGTCTTCATTTCATTTGGATGGGATTAAATTGAAAAGTCACTGATTAAAAATAAACTGCTTAAGTTTCAAAATACATTGTATTGTGTGTAATGTATGCACAGAATAATAAAATACCCAAAGTCTGTTATTATATTCAACTTAATTCTAAACGGATAAAAATTTGTGCCTATATTGTCAGGGTTAGCTTTGAATTAAAGGAGGAACTTTTAAATGTTTCTCAGTGAGAACTTGAACCCCTTCAACAGAAGATTAAAGTGCCTTAAAAGGATGTTTGAGTTTCCATGCAAAGCAGTCTGTAAGAGTTATGTTTCTGTTTCCATTAGTACCGTAGATGGTGAGAGTCACTTTCTGCAAGCGGTGTCATTTCAGGAGAACAAGCACTGCTGTTCTGAAGAAAAACTGTATCAGTAGTCTAGGTTTTTTTCTTTTTAATGATGCTCAGAATATGATGTTCACACAAAGATTGGGAACAAATAATGTCTCAACTTGTATTCTTCCCCCTAAATGATAAGCACTTTTCATTTAGGCAGATAGTAACTGAATTTCCTCATTCCTTTGATTATCTGGCTACTCAACAATAACCTTCATTTGCTGCTTTTGTGACAGGTTTGCATTATGGAGAAATATAATAGAAACTTGTTCTCTTTTGCTTAACGATTCAAATGATACTATTTTCTGTTTGAATCTATGGCAGCATGTTAGAGCTTAATGTAAGAACTGGAAGGTTGCAAGTTTATTAATCATTGGAATGATTTAAGGGGTGCATCTACTTTTATAACCTGGGCATAGGTTTTAGATCAGAGCTCCTGTAACTTAAAGAACTCTTAAGAAAATATTGCAAAATGAAACTATAAGCAGCACTGGATTTTTGTGCTTAATGTCATCTAAGGTCACCAGCGTCATGCTTGAACAACAAAGGGAAATGCTGTCAAAAAAAAAACATGGCCTATCGTTTTCATTTTCTCTGTGCTCTAAAAGCGACGGAACATTTCTCCGTCCAGTGCCATAATGCTTCACCTTATTATTTTAAAGCAAATTTTTTTTTTTTTGCCATCATATCTGGAGTGACTGCCATAGTTTGAGGCTACTGTGACAAATTGCTGTAGCTTTATGACTTTTATTGGACACATTTGTTAATGCCGACTGTAATCTGCTCTCTTCCAGAGAAATTCACTGGAACAGGAGGGAGATCTTATCAAATAGCTTGGATAAAGTCAGCAAGTTGCTGTGTGTGTGTGTACTTGGGAACAAGACAACTAGACAGTTTAACATAAAATATTTATTGTAGCTAAATTAACAGATGATAGAAAACTAGGACATCTTTTTTTGTTTAGTACAGTAAGTGGAGGATGTTTCCAGTTAACATACAGTTTAAACCATTTTCTTTTTTACATTGTACAAATCATCTAGTACCATTTTCCAGATTTACTGAAAATTCAAGTACAAACATTACACATGATTTATCATTAAACAGTTGTTTTAAGTGTAAACAATACAATTCAAAAAGAAAGATTAATATAACTTGAAAAAAAGTTTTTTTTTTATAATTGAAAAGCATGACACTGCTTACAGGTTTCATTGCATAATACAAAGAGATGCATTGTAGTTAAACTGCTTTTACAAATAAGCAGCGGTTTGCAGCTGGCGGATGAGGTTTTTGGCCATTGTTTTCTATTGCAAGAGTAAAAAACACTTTAATAAGGCTCTCTGTCTAAACGGTGTTTACACCTGGTGCAGTTTGAGCTGCAAACTGCCTGCAGGACAACAATCAACACTAGGTGGGTCCAACCTTAATGAATGTAGGAGAATTACTAGACATCAATAAGATTATGCTACAGTAAATCTAATAGGAGGCAGCATTTCTATCCCTTCACAGTAAAAATCATCAGCTGTAGCCTTATTTGTGACAATAGTTTCAGCACTAGAGGTAATGCTGTTCAATAACCCATAATAATAGAAGCAGTACTGATAATTTTGTTTAAAATGACGGAATATTGTTAGCTGTCTGGGACCAGTTTTTGTTTTTAAGTTTTCTACTAGAACTTGTTTTAGATGCCAAGTGAACTGCCTGAAATTAAGGAGTGAAACATAAAAAAGACAACTGTTTAGTTACAAAAAGGCACAGAAAGGTTAATGATTTTAAGGCAACCCAGAGTTTAATTTAATGCTACAGCTATAAAACCACAACTTCCCATCACACTGTTCCTAAGGTTTTAAGCCCTTTTATGTGATGCTGTAGTATTGCAGTGTTGCCTCTCTTTCTTGTTGCTGTGCTGAAGGAAGGCTCCTATTCTTCTCCCTCACTAGGAAGATGTATGTGGCTGTTTAGAAATAACACAGAGTCATTCTGTGTAAACTAAAGCAGAGTTTATAATCACGGGTGTTATTATGTTTTAAAACTATGTCTTCTAAATCACATGTCAGTAAAGCAGCTGACTGAGTAGTCAGCTCATTAAACTTGCACTGTTCTTACATAAAGAGCAGAAAAGCTATAACAGAGTTCCTTAACATTTTGAATCCAAAATTACATAATTTTCCTGGCTCAAATCTTCAGTTTCACGACATTCTTGACATTTGGGAATAAATGATGAAACAAACCCTTTCATCCATTTTCCATAGTGTGGCATAGGGCCACTCCCCTGCTTTTGTGGCACCTTAACTGAATACATGCTGTTATAGGGACAGACGCCTGGAAATCCATATGCTGGTATAGAATATTGGAGATAGAAAAATTTTATAAAAATATAAATCAATGTAAAATCTGCTACATTTATTCAGCTGCATTAGATTTTTGTTCTGTAGTAATTTCTCCTACCTACATTTTAAACATGTCTCTATTATTGTTTCCATAGAGTCTTGGAAAACATCAAAGGTAAATAACAGACTTTTCTAAGCTGTGAAGGAACCCCGGAATAAATAACCTTTAGTAAAAAGCATTTAATTTATGGGTCTCCATGTAATTTCTTTAACTCTTTCATCAAAATCCACACTAATGACAAATATTCTGGTATCAGTATGAAAAATTGTTCCTTTTCTGTTTTATCATATAGACTTTTCTGTTTAAATAAATACTACAATTCCGTTGTATTTGTACTACATAATCATACTACTTTTAATTTATCATACTATATAAAGCTAACACCTAGAGTGACTAGTCATCCTTAGAGATTAACTCTAGAGGCTTAAGGTTTTTTGATCCACTGGTTTTCTAATTATGGTGATGTAATCTTAGTCAGGGTTGATCTGAATACTTCTGCACTGGAAACTGCTGCAGAAACATGTTTAAGTGGCCGTGAAAAAAGAAAAAAAGAGAGTTGAGTGAATTCAAAATGCAACATGCTTCAGTGGTGAAGCAGCGCTGAAATGGTCCGACATACTCAATTTGTGCTTAAAAAAACAAACTCAAATAAGTGTGCTTAAGTTTTGAAGCAGTCCAAGCTGCATATATTGGTGCACCTTCAGCAGTATTGGTCATGTATTGTTGAGATGGAGATGGCGGGGGAAAGGCTGGGGGGGGAAATTCCTTTAAATACTAGGAATGTTTTGTTTCCTTACATTCATGCTGGTCTGGAAAAATGCCTCCCAACATTGGTCTCTACAATGTGTTGTTAAGGTCCTCTCCATCCTCCCTCATTGTGTGCAGTGCATACCATACACTCCTCTAACTTTTCCCCCAGTTCACCCCCTCCCCCCCACCCAGTTATTGTTCTCTGCAGGGCTGTAATGTCCACCTCTTGTTCTGTTCCGCCTGGGAACTCGATCATTAGCATGAGCTGGTCTGGAGGTTGCTTTCGGTTAGGATGGAGGTGATAGTGGAGGGGTCGTACAGGCTGTCGTCGTCATCGTCTGAGCTGAGAACTGATGAATCCAAAGCTGGACGCATTGAGACTTGAGTTTTTCTCCTATCAGAAAGAGACAGCAATAAATATGTACAATTTAAAACCTTTAGAAGTCTTGTTTTAACTGGCATTGTGGCAAGTAGCAGTTGTACAGCTCCCTCCTCTGGCTGGTTAGGGTTAAAACATGTTACGCTGGTATTTGATGTGATGTCATTCTGCCTGTTGAAAATGAGTAATGTACAATTTCATCTGCATTTCAAGACAGTTGTGTAATCCTCTATCAGTAGTATTATGTCACAGATGAGAAACTTGCATACACTAATCATGATATCATGTTTACGAGCGATTTTATTCATCTTCTGATGGAAGGGGAGGAGACTGTATCTCTGTTAGTCAGCCAGACAGACAGCTGTGATGATCTCAGCTCTGTGAGGAAGGTTAATTAAAAGTGAAACACCTACTTGAGCTCCGTTTCCAAAGCGGTGACTCTGGTCTGTAGTGCATCTTTGAGCTCCATTTGCTCCTCCATGTCTCTCTGGGCTTTCCTCCTCAGAGTTTCAATCCTCTCCAGCTCTGTCTCTCCTTCGTCTACCTGCCTCTTCAAGGCCTTTACTTTCAAGGTAAGCTGCAACAGGCATTACAGTTTCAATCTAACATGGCATGTTTCTGAGTGTTAAAAACCTTTTTTTTTTTTAAAACATGATTATACCTGATCTCTCTGTTCAGTGTGAGCCTGTCTCTCCTCATCCAGCGTCATGTTGAGATCTTTTAGTTTCCTCTCCAGTCGACGCTGTGTCGACAGCATGTTGTTCTTCTCTCTTTAAAATACAGAGGGAAAGAAAATGCTATTTCTTTTCCCATAAATATCTTTGAAGCACATTTTCTGTGCCTTTTACAATGTACCTTTCCTCATTTCTCAGACGGTCTTCAAGCTCCTGTATTTTGTTTTCCAGCTGAGAAACTCCTGTTGAGGAGCGAGACTGACCCTCCATCTCAACCACACGGTTCCTTAGCTCCTTCAGCTGCACACAAAAAAGTCATAATTTAAAAACCGAAGGGGATCAGCAGTGAGGAACTGACTTTAAACCTTGTATTAACAGAGGTAATAATATGTATTCGTATGCACATTGTGACATTATAATTTATGGTTTATACAGTTCATTTTTGTGATAGAGCAGCAGAAACTAGACTAAATGGCAAAGTGGAAGGACAATTAGGTCCTTTATAACTACTTAACAGAGAAATGTGTTTTTCTATATAGTTTGGTGCAAATAAATATTATCTTTCTAATCAATTAATCTGTAAGTTATTTTTTTGCTTAATTGATTAATAATAGGATAGCAAAAGGTTCCTTAGAGAGGATTTTTTTACAGAATTTTAAAACTTCCAAAACTAAAACTTTTCCACTTGAGGAGTTTTGGATAGAGCATATCGACCGACTTTTGAATCTTAAATGCAAATAATTTCTTCTTTTATAATTTTGGTATAATCACTACTCTAAGTAGGTTTATGTGTCAGCTAAAGGCATGTATTACAGTCTCTATACTCCATTTAACATGTAATCCATTACTTAATTAGTTGAGGATCATTTCAATAATCAATTAATCACAATTAACCAGATTAAATATTTCAACTCCAAGTGCAAACTGAGAAACTAAACCTGTTTCTTGCTGCCATTCTATAAAGACCCAATTGGTGGAGGGCACATCTAACAGCTGTCCAGTGAACAGCTTCCCCCACCTGAGTTTTGGCACTTTGCAGCTCCTCAGGAGCTATCATAAGTCTCTGTGATTCATTGTCTCCTTATAAAGCAGGTCAGAATAGGGGAACATCAATTTAAGCTTTGGATGACAGATTAAACCGGTCTGACAGATATTGCTTTATGCCCTAACCCTAGGGCTGGACAATAAATCAGTATATATCACAATTAGGGCTGCAACAAACTACTGTTTTGCGAAACGATTAATCTGTCGATTATTTTTTCAATTAATAATTTAATAGCAAAACATTCCTTAAAGAATATTTTTTACGAAATTAAACAAGGTGAAACTAAAACTTTTCCACTTGAGAAGTTCTAGATAGAGCATATTGACAGACGAAAATGTTTTTGTTATCTTAAATTAATGTGTTAATATTTTTTTAAACAATTTCGATAGAGTTACTGCTCTAATTGGGTTGCTCTGTCAGCAAAAGGTATGTTTTAGAGTCTATACTCCCATTAACGATTATTAGATTACTAAAGTTTTGGAGGATTATTTCAATAATTGAATAATTATGATTAGTCCAATTAATTGTTGCAGCCCTAATCACAAAAAAATGTAACTCAATAAATCATTTTTGGTATTTCGATATACCTTATAGTCTATAATTACAGAGTCTCCTACACATGAGCATTAAGGTTCACCACAGACATGGAGCCTGTGGTTGTAGCTGCAGGCTGTGCTTAGCGGTAACAGTCGTTCCTTAACCTTTATATTGGAAGAGTTTCATAGGAGTAGCAAAATAATTTCTATTAGTTTGTACAGGCATCTGTCTTTTATATTGATAACAGGATTATATCAAATTGAGCTATATTGAGAAATCAATAATGATAGGAAACATTTTGACCGTATCATCCAGCCCTACCTCAACCTTAATATTCCTATATTATAATATTCATGATGTTTGATCACTAAGGATCGCTAACATACCTCTGAAAAGCCCTGAAAAAATGGAATAAATCACCCAGCCTGGCTCTATTTGCACTTCAATTACTTTACTCATCATTACTAATGCAGGGTGACATACATGTCTCTCCATGGCGTTCTTATCCAGCTCCAGGTCCTGTTTGGAGGATCTCTCCTGCATGAGCTCAGAGCGCAGCTGGTCGATCTGGTCTCTGCTCCTGGACACTCGGTCCGTCAGCATCTCCACAGAGCTTTTCTCCTCGTCCAGCTCCAACTCCACACGCTTTACTTTGTCCTAATGGACCCAACAAGACACAAAAGTTCCTCCATCCTGTCTATTCTTCCTCTGAGTCTGTTTCTAGATGAGACATTAGAAATCAGAGCAAGGTGGACTATACCTCCAGGATGCGAATTTCACGTGCTTTCTCATTGAGGCTGTTTTTGCTGGCCTCCAACTCTCCCTCTAGGTGGCGCAGTCTGTTGGTGAGAAGCTCCTTATCAAGCTGGTGGTTGTCCCTCTCCTCACAAGCAAGTTGAAGCTCCTTCTTCTGTCGCACCATCTGGGTAATGCAAAAGAATGGATTTACAACATACATTTATCATTTTATGGTTTGCAAATTACAGATGTCCCTGGATCCAAACTCTAATCATTAAAAACAGTCGAAATCAGCTTTTATACCTCTTCTTCTAGTCTCCTTAAATTCTGTTGGTTGCGTTCCAGCTCAGACTTTGTGTCGTTTCCATGGCGCTGTACCTCCTGCACCTCCTTTCGTGTTCGCTCTCTCTGCTCCTCCAGCAGAACTTTAAGATTCTGGATCTCTCCTTTTGAAGTTAAGTTCAGAGACTCGTACTAAGAGAGAGAAAAGGGGGTGAGAAACTCATAGATAGAGCTATTTCTTTTTCACCATTGATTCCTCTGAGAATATCGGATGCCATCCCTTCTTACTTCTTTGTTGAGCTTTTCTAAGGATCTCTCTTGCTGCTGTTTGGTGTCCTCCAGCTGGCTGATGGTCTGTTTTAGTGAGTCTCTGTCTCTCTCTGTGCCCTCCAGACGCAGGCCGAGTTCACGGTACTCCTGGCTGAGCTTGGAAGCTTTCCTCTTGGCTTCATCCAGCTCAGATCTGAGGCCTCTAACCTCTGCGTGCAGGGCGAGCTCTGCCTCTGAGCTTTCTGTAGCGTTGCTCTGCAACTGAGCCTGAGTAAACAATTACAGTTATTCTTTTTTTTATGCTTTTAGATGCTTTTAGAGCATCTCACAGTAGGATTGGGTTTATGAAGACGTAGTTTTACCTCTAATCGTGAGAGTTTCTCTTTGAGCCTGGTGTTAGCTGCCTCCTGCTCCTTCTGAGCATCTTGGAGAGAGTTAACCTCTATCTGAGCTTTACCCACACTTGTTTTAGCGCTTTCCAGCTCTTCTTCAGTAAGAGAGAGCTTCACCTTTAAATGGCTAGCTTCTCTTTGTGCTTCAGTTAGCTTCTGCTCCAGCTCTGAGATGGCTGCTGGGCTGGGGAGCTATTTGGAGAAGGAGAAAGGCAGCAGAGACTGAGACATTTTGAAGATGTAAAGTTCAATACCTAACTATGATTTAAGGATGAGGGTAAACCAACCTGTTTATTTTTCTCCTGTGCTTTTGCATAGTCATCTTTGGCCCTCTGTAACTGGTCCTTCAGCCTGTCGATCTCATACTTCAGCTCAGCCTCCTGGTTCTGGTGAGTCTTTTTAAGGGAGATCAATTCCATGACTTTCTTGTCATAATCCGTCCTCTGTTTCTCCAGCTCTAACTTGACCTTCTGCATATCAGCGCTGCACCGCTGGAGCTCCTGAAACAGAGTAATAGTTTACTGTATGATTGTTAACTTGCTTCACAGGTTATTACACAGCAAGTAATGATATGTTGACATATATCAAATACTTTTAGATGCATTTGGCATTTAACCAGTGATTTTTTTTCAGGGTGGAATGCATTGGAAAGATCAGATGAACAAGCATGAAATGATGTGTCTCCTTTAGAAAGTGTAAAACACAAATGTTCACCATGATTTTACAGTAGGGATGCTTACACTGCTGAGAATTTTATTATGAAATCTGCAGGAAAAGAGACGGAAAAGAAGGAAGGATGAGTGAAAATAAGAAGGACATAAGGAAGGACACTATGTAAAGAAATATCAGAAAGAAAAACTAAGAAGGATAAAGCAGGAGAGGAATGACCAGAGGAAAAAAAAAGGACAAAGAAAGCAAGGAAGGGTATAAAACGGAGAAATGGACTTTCATTAAGGAAGGATAGAAGAACAGGAAAGGAAGAAAGGACAAAAGCAAAGAAGAAAGGAAAAGGAGAAAAAGAGTCAAGAAAGAATGGAGGTAGATGAGTGAGCACAGAATAAAGGGAGGAAGGTAAAGATGGAAGCAGAGCAGAATAGAATGGAAGAACGAAAAAATGAAAGGACTTACGGAAAGTTAGAAGGTAAAAGGGGATGAGGACATTTGGAAGGAAGGGGAAAGGGAAAAACACTAAGAAAGTGAAAAAGAAGAGACAGCGAATGGATAATAAAAGGATTGGAGCAAGGACACTGATAGCCAGTTTATTTTTTCACCTGTTTGAGAGTCTCTGACTGGCCAGAGTCAGCTGGCTGCTGCTTCATGGTGCTCATCTTCTCCTTAAGCTCCTTCAGCTCATCCTCAGACTCCTCTCTCTCCAGGCGGATTTGCAGAAGCCTGAAAAAAGGTGTAAAAAACACCAACATCATACAACGTACTGAAATCCTAAGAATAATGACATATTCAGCAGCTGCTGGATTTGTATCAGTAAAAATTATGAATTTTGATTTGGTGGACATTAGCAGAAACTCAATCTAGCAGTTTGAGCAATCACAATTTTTTAGTCACTAGCGACAAACTAATGTAAGATTATCCACACCTCTTCTCAGTGTTTTAATAGTTTCTGCTAAAACAAAGATGGTTTTGTTTTTAATAAACATCTTAAGAAAAAGATAAAAAAAACACTTTTAGCAGAATACCCATTGTTAGTACTAGATCATGGGCGCCTTTGTTCAGAGAAGGAATCATGAATGAGTGAAGCTGTGAGTGGATAGTCTTAAAACAATGGTTAGCTAATCCTAACCCCAGGCTCACACTGACTCCGGTCTTACCGTTGTGGTGCAGTGGGTGCGACGCCGCAGTGATTCCAAGTCATTAATAAGACGTAAACCTCTCTCACCGGCTGCTGAGCTGTCCGGCTGCGGTTACCGAGACACTCCGGCGCTGCAGAAAATTCCGCAAGAAAGCTATCCTTGCGGCGTGCCGGAGCCCTCCGTAACAAGCTCTCGCAAATATCCTTATTTGGGCCGTGTTATCGCGTGAAGTTACGTGAACTCAAGTGAACTTCTGTTAAATCTCCGGACCTGTTGCCGGAGCCGCACCGCACCGTAGTCAAAAGGGCGGTGTGAGAGGGGGTGTGCGGGAGTTGCGGTCTCCGTCGGCTCGGTAACTGCACCGGAGCCAGTGTGAGCAAGGGGTAAGCTTCTCTATATCTACATATGAGAGCTGTAAAATCACTGAGCCTCACAGTGTTGCAGAGTTGCCGGGTGTCTCTCTGACAGAGAGAGGAAGAAAAAGTGACCAGGAAGAATAAGAGGGGGAAAAAGCAGAAACAAATTACCAGAAAAGAAAGTGCAAAGAGAAAGGGTCAAACAGAAACTTTTAGAACAATCTGAGCTCCTGGTTTGACTCACTCCTGTTTGGTGCTTCGAAGTTCATCTCTGGTGGCGTGAAACTGCTCCATCCAGTGGTTGCTCTCGTCTCTGCAATCCTCCAGCTGCTGCTGCAAAGTGCGAACCGACGCGTTCACTCGCTGCCGCTCAGCTTCGATTCCTGCGTGAGACTACAGCAGAAGAAGCAGGGCCAGATTTGAATGTTTTTACTGCTTATGTTAGTCGACAGCAGTATGGCTTAAACCTAACAAATCCCATCATCTCTAGATGGAACTAAATAGTTAAATTAGTACTTGAATTCAACATCAGAGGTCCAATAAATGGTTTGTCTTCACTTGGTTTCAAAAAAAGCTGACAGTAACATCACACAATTGAGTTTTACAAAGTAATAGACTTTTATATAATCTGGGATTTTTCTTTATAAATCAGAAAAAAACATTTATTGCAAGTCAGAAAAAAACTTCTGTGACCATCTGTTATGCACCTTAAAAACAAATTAAATATTTGAAAAATGGCTAAAGAATCACTTTTCCTCATTGGTCAGAAGCATTTCGACTGATTTAATACAACATAAGTTCCAGATTCTGTGATGATAAAAAGTATAGAACATTTTGTGGGGATTTAATTTTAAAGATCAAGAAATAAATAATTGTGTAGAACACAAATAATTATGATTGGTTTAAAGGTTCTTTATCAAATGGAAATAAGTTGGAGGTGAATTTTTTGTTTAATTTCTGGGAGTCAGTACTTTGTAGGATCATGGACATCCTCTGTTTGTGTGTTGCACCACTTATTATTTAGGTGAATTTTGCCTTTTAAAGTCACAAAGCATAGAAAAGTTTCATGGTGTGACTTATTTCTCACTTGTATATACACGTTACTGTTGACCAGGATGGAAACAAAAACACTACTGGGCATTAAACCACTTTGTTCAGCACTCAGGACTAGTCTCGTTCTGCACACCTGAGACACCTGCTCCATGCTGCTGCGAAGCCTCTCCATGTCCACCCTGTATTGCTCTCGCAGCTTTTCGAGTTCTCGGTCATGTGAGGACACCTCTTCCTTCAGAGCTCCTTTCAAAGCTGTGAGCTCCCTCTCTCGTTGCCTGAGTGTCTCCTCCAGCTTCTGTTTCTGCTGGTAGACCTCTGCAAGCTGTGCCTGACTAGACACCAGGTCCTGCAGAGAGAGAGGAGGATGTGAGTATTGTAAACATGGATTCACTAAGAGTCATTTAATAAACAATAAAAAAAGTTAGTATGCATGCTGTACCGTCTTGCTGCCATTTTCTCTTCGTAGCTCCTCCTGAAGTTCTGCCAGGTGGTCCTCCAACTGTCTAACCCGAGCTTCAGCATTCTCCCTGTCCATACGCAGCTGAGTCAGCCTGCAACAAAAACAATAGAAAGAAAAGACTGTTGTATGTGGTGCAAATTAGTAAACAGTAACTACTTGTTTCATTTAACCATGACTCAGGTTGTGGCACAAAGCCCTCCTGTAAGCTGGAGTATAACTGTGTGTGCATGCTCCTGTGTCCTCACTCTGATTGTGTTTCGTTTAATTCTTTCTTCTTCCGGTCAAGCATCTCCTGGAGCTGCAGGTTTTCATCCAGGCAGGACTCCAGCTCAGCTTTCAAAGCAGGGTCAGAATTGCTAGCGGAGACCTGTACACACAAGCAGGCATAAAGAATGAATGAGAGCTCTGAAACATGAGCCTTAAAGCAGAATACACAGGTTGCTTTTAGGTAATGATGCAGCGGTATGTCTTTACCCAACAATCAATATGCATAAGAGCTTAAGGTATTAAGAGCTATGTTTAAACCAGCATATAATGAGCCATTATAGTAGATTTTTTTGTATGATTACTTGTGTACATCTCCAATAAAGCCTGAAGGCTTTCTGGAATAATCTGAGGATTAATCTGAAGCACACTCCCACAAACCCTCATTAGCCCTTCTGGTTAGATTAGTTAAAAGTCAAAGAAACGCTGGGGACTATTTCATCCTCTCAGCCAAACAGAAGAGCAGGTGAAATCTTCCTCATGTCCAGGCAGCTAACAACAGGAGTTTATGTGTGGACTGCAAGTGAGCCATATAATTAGAGCCTAGTTACTCTCTAGATGCCAACCCCCCTTATTGGCAACTCTTTCCAATAAACAAACAAGCTGAATTGAGAAAGTCTTTATGTAACCCAGAAAAAAGTCCTGCACAGATTTACAGGACCATTGAGACTGGTAGAGCTCTGGTCAGACGTTTACAGGCTTAAGTTATTTAAAGTGACTGTTTTACTGGTAATCTGATCAAAGATCGTTAAACATCACAGTCCTGTTGGGAGACTTTATTGCATAGATAACCAAGTCGAGTCCTGAAGAGCTACAATCTTTTCTCTTTAGATGTACCTTTTCTCCAACACACCTGAATTTGAAGGCTGAATTTTCTTAGCCTGTCAGTCAGCTCAGCAAAGGCCTGGAAACGAGCCGCTTGTTTGATTCAGGAGTGTTGGAGCATCTAAATTGAATTGAGCACTCCTGCTTTACTGTGACCATGTTTGAATAATTATTTTACTGGAGCTAAAATTGTTAAATGCTTCAACTTTTAATTGTTCTACCTGTATGAAAAAAGCACCAGCCTCACTGGCTCAAAAAGGACCCCTAAACATGATACAAACACCTCTATGATGGACCATTAATACAATGTTCTTATGTTCGGAAGTTTAACCTTTAAACCAAACATCATTCTTATCAAAATAGATTTATCAAAAAAAAATAAAAAAATCCCATGAAACATATCGGTTCATAATGATGTAAAACTGGCTTTGCTGTGAAGTTGTAATTCTGCTGATGAAGCATCTTTTTGCTCAGATTGTTTTGAGTTTTTCTTGTACATCCAAGGCTGTTTCCTTTTACTTGACAGTGAAAGTTTAGGCCAAATGGTCAAAAGTTGGACTCCACTGGTTGCTCCGACTGGACAATGATCTCAAACAAACATTCAAAGCTTGTTTTAAAAAGACCAGGAACTAAACCAAACAGAACTGAACCAGTTATGTAAAGAAGTCTTTAAGAGCAATCCAGACAAAGATATGCCACAAAAAGAGTGACTTCTCTGCAACCAATTAGCTGTATTAATCTAAATACAAACAGCAGTGTCGTATGTGTACACTTGATTTTGTACATAAAAGAATGTTTGGTTCTATTCACAAAAAATGTCTCCATTATAAAAACTTTTTTTTAAAAACTCACTTGAGTTTATATGTAGTATATTAAGTTCACCCTTAATTAATAGCAGCACGAGCAAATCATTACAGTATAAACCCAAATCGTTGGGCTTCAATAAGCGAAAGGAAACTGTAATCCAGAGGGGAAAAAACACACATTTGATTTTTTTTAAAAGAAGGCTGGAAGAAACAGGACAAATATTGCGTTATGTCTGAAGGTCACCAAGGACCCGTCATGTCACATTTCTCTCTCTGCTCCACTCACCCTTCTATCGTCACGCAGGGCAGTCTGCAGTTGAGCCACCTTAGTCTCCAAGTCCCTTTTTTCTCTTACCCACTCTTCCCGGGGGCCTTCTTTAGGCTGTTAAGAGAAAGAGCCAAAAATGGGACAGAGCTGTAACCTCTATGTTGAACACAATGTGGAATAATTTCTAAAGAAACATGCAGATTTAGAAAGCAAAACGAACCATTATGCTCTGAAACTTCTGAAAAATGCTTTTGACTTTGTTCCAGATGACAGCATCACTCTCAGAAGATCTAAAAAAAATAAAAAAGGGGGAAAAGTTAACTTCAACACTCTCTGATCCCTCTGATGTGATCTGAAGAATGCAGAGGACTGTACCCCTGTCTCAGGATGTTGTACACCATCTTCATGACCTGCTCCTCCTCAAAGCTCATCCCCGCACACTGAACCTGGTCCAGTAAAAGGTCAGGGGTCACCTTAAGACATAGATCAGAAAACTACGCTTGCAATGTGGCATGCTCTGTTCTGTTTGTAGCTCACAGAAAAATCTGTTGTGATGCCCGACCAAAAAAAAGAAGAAAATAATAAGGATTCTTACTTGTGAGTCGGCCAGATCCACATGTCTCCGTTCCTCTGAAGCCAACTGATTGGCAGAGGGCCCAGGGAACCTGGAGCCCGGGGCCTGGCCATGTCCTAAGCTGCGGTGAGAGGAGGGCTGAGGCGGGGTGTGAGGATTTGAGTGGTGGACTGGAGCCGTCGACCTGTGTTGTGGCTGTGTAGGTGAGAATCTTCCCTGCTGGCCTACAGCTATTCCACCATCCAAGCTGTTCATCTGTCTGTTGACAGGAGGCTGTCTCTGATGGGAGGGGGGCTCGTTTGCTTGTTGACGTGGGTCAGGGTATGATTGATTGCTCCTAACTGGTTCCACTGACCTGTGATACCCTCCTTGGCCAGCCTGATCCCACATTCTCCTGTCCTCAATCCCTTCCCTACTTCCCCACACTTCCCCTCTGTCTCTCCTTACTGCACCGCTTCCATCTAGATGACCATAACTACCAGACTTTCCATCCCCAGGGGGTCTAGACAGATGAAAATCCTCACTGCTGCCACCTCCATCCTTGTCTAGGAGTGAGCCATGAGACTGAGCCCGGCGGAGCGCCCCTGGAGGGCCTCCCTCCCCTTCAGACTCCGCCCACTGTACTCCAGCCTCTGCCATGTCTCTCCTCCGGGGAAGGCTGCTGTAGCCTGAGGAATAGTTAGTCCTAAGCTGGACCCCGTATGAGTCTCCCCTCTGTCCATCCTTCAGGACTACATACGGCTTCCCGTCGATCCCCTTTACCCTGACCGCTACGCCATATTTGGAGGGAGTGTTAGGCCTGGACTTGGTTTGGGGCATTGGCTGTCCTCCTCTAGAGTCCCCGATATTGTTAATAGAATGGATCTGGACTCCATGGTCCATCGGGGGCCTTCGGCCGGAAGACTGTGAGCTCATACTGCAACAGAAAAGGAAAACCTGATTTAGTTAAAACAACTAAGAGGCTGCATTAAGAAGTACTCTGCTGGAGCTTGAAATTTATTTTTTTAGGAAATGACTTAAAGTCTGGGCATTTTGGTTGCAGACAATTAAAAAGAAGAAAAAAAGGAAGCCAGCTGTAGCATATTATATTCCACAAGGCACCATATATGAAAGAAAGGGGGCACGGTGGAGAACAATCACCGAAGTGGTCGCTTTGCACATATAGCCAACAGCAAGGTGCCCATAACATAGAGAAGATGGGTTTATTAGTATGATTAAAACCTTAGACCCCAGATATGAGCTACCCAGCCACAAGTACGTCAGTGAAATTCCATTACCCAAGCTGCACAGTGGGGACTAAAAAATATATATTTTTAATTGAATTAAAAGAAAAAAACAAATCTGAGATTTTATTTTTAGGCCATATCACCAAGCCCTAAAGGCAGGATAGAAAACTCTAAGAATAATAATTTTTTTTATATTTTCTGCTGTTGTATAGTTACTGAAGAAAAAGTTTAAAGCTTGACTAAAGATGGATCTGAAATCTGTGACACATTTCTGATCCGTGCATGTCTACAAAGGGGCTGAATATTTAAAAATACAAAAAAAAAATAAATAAAAACATGAATTTTAGAACCAGAAACATTCATGTTCCATAAACTCTTTAAAGTGTATGAGACTTTAACCCTTAACTAATGATAACCTGTGCATGTTTGCTGGCGAAAAGTAATGTTTTGTAAACAGTGAGGCTAATGTCATGCTGTATTTCAGCCTTGAGAAATGCTGCATATGACCTACTGTGGACCACAAAAAAAGAAAAAGCAAACCATATTAGCGTAGTTGTGTAAAATTCAACCAAGACACAATTATTTAGAAAAAAAAAGACCTTTCTTTGAAGGTCAGTTTAAGAATCCTCCCATTGTAAAAAAAAAAAAAAAGGAAGAGGACATAAGGAAGGAAATATTTCTGTCGTCCTTAAGCCAATCATGAAGGTAAATAGACACATCTAAAGTTGATTTAACAGCTTCCTTCCACTGTTAGTTAACACAACTTGTAAAACCACAAAGTAAATGCAAAGAAAAGAAGAACAGCACTGATCAGTTTGCTTGGAGAACAACTCACCTCCAAACCGAAAAAGTTCCACTATATAATCACAATGCAAATATAAATATGTAACGGTGATACAGACTGAACAAATTTACATAGTTATCAAACGAAGCTGTTTGCATAGTTTGTGGATAGACTTTAAGCTGTGAAAGAAATGTAAATTAAGCATTTCTTTTTTGTTTTTTGTTTTTCCAAAAAAAACAAAATGAAACGTTTGCATAAATCTTGAATAAGCCATAGTTTGCTCAAGCACAGAGAAGAGGAAACATTTGGCAGTCTCAATGCAATGTTTTCCTATTACATAGGTCAGCCTGATCCTTTCTGAATAAAAAAACAAACCGTTAAAAGTTGAAGCCATTCAATCTTTTCTGATACGTTTTATGGAAGCGTTTTATGTTAAAAAAAAAGTCATACAAAGTTCTGTTCACCACGTCGAGGATGAAGCAATGATTTGTAAAATGAGCAAAGTTCAAGGTGAAGCTAATAAAATGAAACTTCTGGCCATGATGCCGAATAATAGGAATGCAGAAAGACAAACAATGGACATCAAACGGAGCATGAAATCATCATATGTCACACGGTGGTGGCAGCATCATGGCATGGGGTTATTTTTTTTAAGCAGGTATAGGGAAGCTGGTCAGGACACATAGAAAGATGATTGGAGTCAAAAACAGAATGAGCCAAACTTAGCAGATTATTTTCTAGGGTTCCTCCACCTCAACATAACATTACATTACAAAACAAGGAATAACATTTTTCTTTGACAACACTGATTCCTACTATCTGTGCAGAATTAATGCCAAAAGAAAGAATTTAAAATCACTGAACTCTTAATAACCAGGACTGTGGAAATAAAACTGCTTTTTCTTCGACAGGAAACACAAATGTACTTCTTCCAGGATAAAGCAGAGATTTACAGACGTTGACAGGTTTCTGGTCCTTGACTGAGTGTGTGAACTTTGTTCATGTTGCTCCCTATTAGTCATTAACCTGAAAGCACACACCCAGACATGACTCTCCCTTAGTGAGGAGCAACAACTTTGGATAGTTTCTACACCTCACAGCACAGATAATTATGATCATTTATAGCGTTTAAACTGACATAATGAGGACAGATTCTATATTTACAGCTTCAATTCAACACACTAATTCCTAGAATGCTTTTTTCTAGCTCCACTCACTGGAAATAAAAACTGAACTGAGCAGTCAGTGTTACCTCGTAATAAAGCCGTGCTTTAGCTTACAATAGACAACCCGACATTAAAGAGCTACAGTTTTCTACTGCGACTTTGTAGCCACCAAAACACTCCCTCCTAACCTTTCCTACTTTCTATCTCGCTTTATAGCTGTGGGGGTGAGAGACAGAAAGCGGGCAGGGAAAAAGAAAGGGAGGGTGAGTAGAAAGACAGAAAACAGTTCACTTTTCTTCTCTTATCAGCGTTTCATGCGATAAAATCCAGTCAGGCCGTAACTGAAAGTGAGAAACGGCCTCAAAAATGCAACTCTGTTTTGCACAGAAACATTAAGTACTTTTCTAAACAAAGACGGTTTCATTCCAGGGAGATCTCTTTAAGAAAGGAGAAATGTTTTGTTCTTTTCTTATTAAAAAATACTTTACTATACCAGAAGAAAAATGACATCCACAAAGACAGTGTTTCTTTTCAAAATGAAAAGATGAAAAGGTGAAGATGACGCCTGCGCTGTCATTGAAGATGACACAAACAGGTTTTAAGTATATTAGAGGTACGCAGGTATTATCTGTAGGTGGATACAATTGCAAGGTGTGTAGCTTTTTTTTTTTTCCACACTCCAAACCATAAGAAACGTTGTGTCAAATGAAATATGTGAAGTCGTGCATGAAGTCTCACCCACAGCTGAACTGTACCTGTTCGACATCGTTTCACACAGGTATTATGTAGAAAGGCAAAGAGCAGTATTTATTGACGGAAGTGGCATGGACTCGGAGGAATGCAGAAGTGGTGCTGAAGCCGTTTTTCCTGTCTAAATATTCGCTGCACTGCATGCTTTCCCAGGAGTCTCGCTTTTTTTATATTTGTCAAAAGGAGGAGTGAAAATGCCAGTCTATGAGGATGGGGGTGATGGCAGGGGAACTCATCCTATTGTCTGTCTGATGTGGGGCGGAAAACAAGGGCAGCGATTTAGAGAACGCAAAGAACTGTCCCCCTTTGGTTCCTTCTCTGCCTGATCTAATTTCAAAAAGCTACCTTCAATAACTTCCTTATCTCCAAACTCTACTTTGAAAGCTTTCTGTCTACACCTCTTGAAAAAAAAATCACAGCCGCACCTCTGATTGCTACCTACGTCTGCAGGCCACAGAAACTAAACAGTCATCAACCCTTTAATCCAGCTTTTTAGCTTTAAAAATCACGACCATCAGGCTGATTACTTAAGCTGATTATCTGCCATTTGGAGACAGACCATCAATTTAAATATAAAGCATGCAAACAAAAACAAACTGGTGATAGGCAGATCTACTCACAGGTAACGGAAGTCAGCCATTTCTTTTCTTGATCATCTCTGATTAGAGATGCTCAATGAATTTACAAATAGGTCAAACCTTTGTTAAGGCTTTAAGAATCAGCATGGTGTCAGAAAATAGGATTCCAATCATGGACATGTGCTTTGACCAATTCCCGGGGGTGATGTTGTTATTCTACCACCTTCTGCAACAGAATCTACAACTGTTTTTTTTTTTCCCTACCCTATCAATGTTTGCTAAATTTAATCAAATAATTGATTTCATCTATATGTGTTGGATACCTTAGTATAAACATTTTAAACCGGCTGAATTTGATTAATTTTTATCCAGACCTAAAACTGGTAAAATCCTGATTGATATAATCACAATTCTATTTACATCACTAACTTTAATTCTGTTTGTCCTGTAACTTTTATGTTCATGTTTCTCTTTGGACATTAAACATGTTAATGCATTTGAATCTTATAGCAAAAAAAAAAGTACAAAAGTAAATAGAGGGTTTAGTTTAATAGCAGAATATATTAATGTTCATCCTTTCTAGGATTCCAGGTCTGGTTGTTATTACTGAGAAACTTGACAATAAGCAATAAAATATAAACACTAGACTGAGACATTTTAATTTTGTTTTACTTGCCCAGGTAGGTTATCTTTCTCACATGATAATTTGATTTGGAGGCACCCCGCTGGATCCTAGATGGAACAATATTCAGAATTATCTGAACATTTGTTCTTCAGTCTGCTTAAAAAGAAATAATGGAGCTTACTCTCCCTTTAACTTTCAAATCAAATAATTAATTTATATCATGTATCGTACAAGTTATACACTCATTACATGTTTGTTCTCCAACCAAAACCTTTTTTTTTTCCTATTCCAAAAACAATCTCCCTTCTAGGTATAGATTTAGTAGGGTGGTCCAAATCAGGAAGGATTTTATCCTGATAGGAGCCTGAGTCACTAAGGATTAGTTATTTTCTGACACTGAGTCCAACACTCTGATTATTAAACAGGATAATTAAAATAATGTCCTAAAGCTTCCAAATGGGGCAGCCTTAAAGTGGAGCAAATAACTTACTAAACAATGGGGTTTATTGTGCTGCAGGCTCTGTTGTTTAGCTTTATGTTTTTTTTTTTTTTTTTTACAGCAAAACATGTTTGAACCTTCTCAAAATGACAACTGAACAGCCTAAATGTGCAGCTCCAGAACAGTTAACTAGGTTAAGAAATCTGCTGCAATGTTCTGATTATCCAACAACTATAATTGTCTTCGATGAACTCAATCATTCCTCAGACACTTATTTTTTTTATCTCAGGGAATCTGTCAAAGTAGTAGCATTACATTTCTTCTGTTTTGATCTGACTTGCTGAAATTTCAGTTCTGAACCTATTCCAGTGGAGTTATAGTTAATCGTATGCAGAAAAACTAAACGTGTTTGTATTTTTCTCACTTCATAACTTTATGCTTTGCTTTAAATGTTGTAAAATCTACCCTGCACAAGAGCTGCCAAAAGATTAGGGCCCAGCACCTTTTAGTGAAAGAAGTTCAAGACCATCTTATTGGATAAAATAATCTATCGGTATTCAAAGTGTAAATATACGGCATTTGGAATGAATTTAAAAAATGTTAAGAGATTCTTTCTATGAAAGTCATACACTGATAATTGAACTCAATACATTGTGCTGCTCTATTTAGGATAAAGGACAGCTAAACAGGTCACATACCAGAAAGAGAGCAGCAGCAGACAATAGCTTTTCCATTCACTGTGAACATTGTAAACAATGAAAAACGGCAAGTGTTTGTTAATCTCTAGCGTCATTTGATCAACAAAATAGAATGAGCACCTTTTAATACAGGTTTTATTGAAAATAAATATATAAATAGCTAATGATTTTTAAAAAATGTATCTACAATATGCAACCACACACCTAGTCAGGTAGAACTGAGGGAACAGCTGATTTATATCCTACTACTACAAGCACAGCAAGGATCTAGAACCAGGGTCTTTGGCACTGATCATGCAAATAATACATAGAATGTGGGATAAATAATTATTAACACAAATATTCTTCAGTAACCAAAATAGAAAATAAAGATGTAGCTGAATGCTAGCATAGCCAGAGGACATTCCACATCTACACCTTCTGTGACCCGATTGGGCTTTTAACAGGTAGAGCAAGTAGCTCTAATTTGGAGAAAAAAGATATCCAAACAGCTATTTACTAAAATAGATGATTATTTGGTTTAATAAGCTTTGGGAATGCAACAAAACTAGACCTAACTTTCTCAGACAGACTTTTACTTTTTCTTCTAAGGGAAATGTTAACCGCAGCTTAAAAGTAACAGAACTCCCCATCTGCTCCCAGCAGACAGTTAGAAACCTTCTCCAGAGAGATATTCTCCTTCTCAGTTACATCCTTGACATAAAACCAGACCCTTGTCCTCTGTCCAAACTAGTTACTACTCCTCTTTCACATGCATACAAATATCCATTTATTCCTCTTTTCACATCCAAAGTAGCTCATTGGCATGAAAAAGCCAGACTTCAGTGTTACCAAGCAGTAAACAAATGACACCATATTAGAAGGACATAAGTATGGCCCTCCCTTCCATCACATTCCTGACACTTCCTCTGCTTCACTCGCCTAATCAGGCAGGTTCTGGGATTCTATGTCACATGTGAAGGAATTAACTGCCTATAATGTCAAACCAGATTGGTTTGTGCCAAACTATCATAAGATGAAACAGTGGCACCTCATCAAGTCAAAAGAGGTTATTAGTCAAATGTGAGCCGTACCTTAATGCTACTGTATAATCTGCAGAGATATCTGTTATCATCGGTTTCATCTGAAATATCCTTTCTAGTACAGAGGAGCAACTGGTTGACAGCAGGAGTCAAAAGTGTTTTATTTAATGACGGGAGAACTAGATTTAAGACTGAACAGCTTAGGTCTGTGAGCAATTACACCTCCTTGAAAACTGTGATTACATTGGCTAAAGCAAGGCTTACACTGTGCGATTTTTTTGCCCTTTTCAGAGCAACTTTCCAATTGGGCGAGAATTTTTCCGAAATTTTACACATTTAGGCTGTTCAGGTGTAGGCTGACTTTCAGCCTGATCGTGTATTGTACAGGGGGTAACGAGGGGCGATCAGCCTTTTATGACCACCTCCGGATCAGGAATCGGAGGTCAGTCGACCGTCGTGGGCATATTGCTCAGTGGGCAACAAGGACTCTTCTTCCTCCTCTCAGACGAAAACACAGAAGCATGGCGGGGGTGTGAGTGAAATGCAGTTCTTTCTGTAAAATTGACAGACCGTAGTAGCCACTATTGCTCAGCCATGTCTTTGTCCAAAGTTTCATTCTAGTGAGCTTCATATTCGACTTCTACTGGTTTGGCTTCCAGATAGATGAGTCCCAGTAGCGCCATCTCTCTCCGGGGCTGAGTCCAAGGTGGTTTTTAGATGTGCAGTGTAAGCAGGTAGATCAGAGCGTTGGGCCGCACATGCATCGTGAGCTGTGAACTCACACTGTCCGACGAAACCGCAGGGTTGCAAGAATTTTCAAAAATCGTACAGTGTATGCTCGGCTTAAGATTTTTAACCAGGACTCAGCTGTTGTATTTTAGACTCATTTAGGAACAAAGTAACTACAAAGATGATCCAGATATCCTATTTTTGTATTTAGGTTTGAATAAATAAATGCAACTAAAATTCAATTGATTTCCATACTCAAAACCTAAAAAGTTACAAAAAGGAGGGAGTATAAAATGGAAGTCATCACAAAATACAACCATTATCCTAATGAGGGCATCTGAAAGTACATCAATTAGTTCTCAAGAAATTTTTATTGTTGTATGTCTATTGTATTCATCACAAAATAAGATTAAAAGCCCTGCTAGTTGCATGTTGGCACCATTAAAAAAAAGGCCTTGAAATGATGAAAATAACTTTTTATTACAATATACCATATCTGAATTTCTTCCTGCTGAATTTCTTTATTCAGCTCATCCACCTTTGATATATTAAACAAGTTTAATTTATCTGGAGCTTTAGTTGTATTTTACCATAAAATAAAACTAACATATAGTAAAAACCATTATATCTGACATTGACATTAATGATCTTTAGGAGAGAATTAAACTACGTTAAAGCTTTTTATTCCAAATAGCATTTTGATTTCATGTTTTCATAAAGCTATCACACTTTTACCAGGTGATACAATCAGATTATAGAAAACCAATACAAAATGAAAAAAAAAAAACACTTGAAAATTGTCACATAAGTCATCTGCTGAACAAACATGACATTTTCTATTTAAAATAAAATAAAAAAAAACAGAATCATGATCTGAATTATTATTTGTACCCTTTCCCCAACCCATTTTAACATTTCTATATTTAATTAGCTCTTTCAATTGGAACTGATGTGATAAAGCTTAGTTTTGCAGAGACTCGTTGATTTGGGGCCCCAAGCATGTCCCCTAGTGACCCCTAACCTTGAAAACAGCAGCTTAAAAAGGACAGGTGTGTGGTTGTCATTTTTTTTCATAATCTTAATGTGAATATAAACAAAATGAAAGTCACTCCCTGTTTCACTTTTAAAAACAAAGTCGTTGTTTCACATTAGGGGACGGTGATTCACCCTGACACATTTGACTCAGATTTAACTTTGTTAGTTTAATTACTTTTCTTTACAAACGAGTTAAGAGATATAAGTAAAAACGTGGCATCGCTGCAGCGTATTACACCTTTATATTCGATACGAGAAAGAGAAAAGTCAAGCAGCATCAGAAAATCCCAGATAAAGTGTATAACTGTCGGAAATGGATGATTGTCTGGTTGAGCCGTGTGGCGGTTAGACAGGATCAAGTTCACACCGAAACTTACCTCTTCTCCTTCAAAGTATCTTCTTAGCTTCTCTTCTTATGTTTCCTCTCGTCTTGTCACCGAAGATACCCTAAATATCTCCCCATACGTCTGTCAAAGAACCATGTTAAACTTTAGCCTTCATAAACGTCTACAGTAATAAGTTCACTGCGCTGCTGTTGGAACTGCAACCTGTTACCTTTTTCTCGGGATACTAAAGCTCCACCCACTGCCATCAAATACTGCTCTCTGATTGCTCAGATCCCCTGGTGTGGGCGGGGCCTGGGATGTTTATCAACCTCTTAATCTCTAATTGAGTTTGCTCTACACAGTTATGACACTTTAACGCGAGTATTTAAAGTTTTGAACACTATAAAATAAATATATAAAATAAATAAGTATATAAATAAATATTTTAAAAAATTGTTGTAAGATCAAAGAGGCAAGAGAATGGAGCTGAACAAGACTTCCCTCAATCTGTCCACTAGATGGCGCAAATATTCCCAAAATGGTCACAGCTGCCCCATTCCAACAAATGATGAGCTACAGTTTTACAAAACACTCAACTTTATTTATCCTTATTGCCACATTGCCAGACAGGACACTGTATAAAGAGAAAAAAAAAACAAAACTTTATTTATCACTTGGGATTACTCCTTCAGGGAAATTCTGGTTCCATTGGTACAAAAAGTTAAAGCAAGCTGTCATGAAAGATAAAAAAAGAAAAAACAGCCAATATAAAAACAGTGTATATAGTTAAAAAGAACCCATAAAAATATAAAAATATCTGCACTGTAAAGAGCTAAGGGAAGACTGCACAGTAGTTGAACTGGGTTATTGCACTTCTACTGCAGACTTTATAAAATAAGTAAAAAATTACACAGGCTACACAGTAGTCAGTATGTGATATTACACAGTGACAGAAAAGAATATTGCACACGAGTGACAATAGGTAATGTTTTGCATAAAATGTCCAAGGAGGGGGGTGATGACCCTTGTCCCTCTTCCTATCACCTCCTCCTTCCCCCAAGCGAGGAGTTGTACAACTTGATGGCTTGGGGAACAAAGGAGTTTAGCAGTCTGTTGGTCTTACAGTTTACAGAAACTTGAAGCTGGGAAAGGAAAATACCTTTTTGATAGGCTATAAATTATAAAATGACATTCACAAACTTTTACACATATAACCTGCTATTTGATACCATTTAATTCCTAAGTAAATCAAAAGTAAATCATTCCATGTGTGTCACTGTGAGCCTGTGCTGAAAATTCAGTACAACCAAACCTTCAGGTTCATTGCTTACTGTAAATTGGGATTTCATTTAAAGGTTAAGCTGTTTTAGTAAATTAATTCAAAAGGTAATGCTTATACAAAATTTAGTGTCAATATTTTTGGAGTAGTCCATTAGAGTGGTCAATTTTCACTAGAATGTGGTAGGTTCAAGAGTAGAAAGTTTAGAGGAAGGAAAAAATTTACAAGACAAAAGGTCCACAAGCAATAAAGAACTAAGGAACAAAGTTAATTTTTGAAGGTTGAGGGTTGATTAACAATGTGTGTGCCTTTGAGGACCCAAATGCAGAGAGGAGTAGGCACAGATGAGTTTGTGATGATTTAATGAAAGGGGAACCGAGGCAAAAATACAAAAATACTGAACACCAAACAAAAAACAATAAATGTCAGGGAAACTACTTGAACGAAGCAAGAGACTATAAAGCAATGAAACAACATTAACAACACAAGAAACCAGCCCCGAGTGAGGGCTCTGCTGCTCTTTTAAGCCCAGCACTCTGCAAAAGATTCTCTATGGAGGAGATGCATATGTCACCTGGATCAGGGTATCAATGACCTCAAAACACAAATATGAAAGACAATGACTACCACTCTTTATTATGTGCAGGGAAAATCCTAAATCAAAACAGTATAAAAAGAGTCTTACCAAGTCTAAGGACCAAAGGGGTGTAGAAAGGTATAGCGGTCCTTTTTGAATGAAAGGAAATTATCTGATTCGAAACCATTTCAGATTAAATATGTTCAAAGTGTTCCACTATGTTCTAGAATTTAAAATCTCTCTTTTAATTAAACAATACTCAAACGACTCAAAAACACACCTCAGTATATAGCCCAATTTATTGATCAGCCTCTTTAAGTCACTTCTCTGGGTTCAGTTCAACTTCTATTTCTCCACAACCTTCTATTGTTATGTTTAGTGTTTGGTATTCTCTTCATTCCCCTGAGATATGATGAGGATTACTCTGACACATCCCACAAAGCAGTTAAGTTTGATGACTGGACTCATCGTGCTGGAAATCCTAAATGTGTCTGACACCATTTGACTTTAGTTTAGTCTCTCCAGTAGCCATACTCTAATCATAATAGATGATTCAGGTCTGAGAAATTATGGAGCAGCAAGGGGATCGATCTAAGATGAAATGTAGGAGTTTATGTCTAAAAACAAAGAGAAAATTCAACAACTGATCGTTATTCCCTTATAGTGTCATCTTCTTTATGATAGATCTGAAAACAAACAGCCTTGAGTTTGATTATTTCAAATTTTTTGTTGCATGACGTTGAGCAACCTGACTTTATGGGTTCTATTTCACATCCTCATGAGACTTTTCCTCCCACCTCCTATTCCAAACAGCTCCTCCCCACATCTCCAGCTATATCCACTAACAGCAGCTTTCCCCTTCCTCTCATCACTTCTCTCGGGCGGCTTACTGAACGCACTCGCATCTCACGGTCTGGGAATGGGATCTTTACTGGGTTCAAAGAAAAACTTCCAGTTCTTTCGGGTTTACGCTCTGCAGAAGCTTCTTTTCAAACTGCAGGGATAGTTGTCGCTGCAGGTGCAGGATGATCACAGGGCAGCCTCTGAAGAAACCTCTCCAAGACGCACCAGAGGTACAGTAAGTTTCCAGCGCAAGAAACGTTCATATTAAAAATAAAAACAACAAAATTATTCGGAACAGTTGGATTCTTTAGATATAACTGCGTAACAGAGTCATTTCAAATCGGTAGTGAGCAAATTACGCGTGCGTAAAAGTTGGAGCTTTTACGCAAAGACAAAGGTTAGTCTGAGCAGGCCCCAAATGCAAGGTTAAGTTTAAAAAACGGAATTATTGGCGTTTGAAGAACTAAATTTGCAGCCATGGCAAAATGGTTTCGAGATTTCCCCATCAATCTGAAAAACGGGACTGAGAGAGTTCGCTCGGCCTCCGAGTCTGGTTCACAAACTAGACCCAAACCTACATTTTCACGCGACAGTTTGAAAGGAAACCAACGCAAAGATGGAGGAGTGGGGAGCCTCTTAGCGGGGAGAAACAGGAAAAACTCTGCCACAGAGCTGGGTCGCAACAACGCCGGGTATGGAGGGACTGTCTGGGACAGCCTGACCACTGGCAAAGGTCGAAAGAACTCCAAAGCTGAGCCTGGGGCATCAGATGAAAACCGCCCGGTGAGGAGCTCCAGTCTGGCGCAGGCGTACATCAACAGGATGATCAAAGTGGACAAGCAGGACAAGACCCCCAAACTCGATGGGATCAGTGAACAGAAGCAATCAGGGAACGAAAAGGCAAAGACCGACATAAAAACTGCGGTGAGTCGTTTCATTTTGAAATAAAACCTAAAAAAAAAAACTGCATTAAGTGCATTTTTAATTGCAACAATCATGTTTTTTCACTAACTTCTTTTCAAATTTAAAAAAATTAAGTGATTAAATCATCTTTACTTTTAAATGAAAACAAACTAATATATATTTATATGTTTCCCAATTATTTTTTTTTTAAACATCAAAAATGTCCTTGTCTAAAGTTACTAAGAATGTCATTATTGTGTTTTATGGCCTTCATTTTACAAAACAAAAAACATCAACCAGGAAAACAACTAACTTAGGTTCTCTATTTTTATAATTTGTTATGGATTATGCTTCAAACCAACACAGAAACAGAGGAAGAAATATCAAAACCACATGCAGGCTGAGAGCGATCAATGCAAACTAGAGAAGCTCTTTGAAGGCTTTTCTTTGTGCGCTCCCTCCTTCCCTCAGTTCATATTCAGTTTCCATCCCTCTCTAAAAGACACAAAAGAGCTCCAACACATTGTGTCACATCAAACAGGCAAAAAAAAAACAATGCACTGACCTCTTTGCACAAACATTTCCGCTTGTCCCCCTATTACTTGTTACTCAGTCATGGACACCACACACACGCACCCTCTCACCCCAACACACACACAATACTCACAAACCTACACTCATCTTTGTTCCCTCCTTAACTTTTTATTTATTTATTTTTCATACAGAAAAGCATGACCTCTTCATTCTTTTTCTTCCTTTTCATAGTTGATAATCCTGGAGGATTACGCAGATCCTTTTGATGCAGAGAAAACCAAAGAGCAGCGAGAGGCAGAGAGAGCAGGAATGAATGACGGCTACATGGAGCCATATGACGCCCAGGTCATCATCACAGGTGAGATCAAATTTCCACATCTAATAGGTCATTATATTTATCTCAGAGTCTGAGATGGCATCCTGAATTTACAAATCTTAAACTCGTTGATGATCGGAAGTTGAAAAAAAGGATTCAGTAAATCAAGACTTCCCTCCTATAAAAACATTGTATTGTTTATGTGTTCCTCTGTTCATTCTCGCTCGCTGTATTTCTAAATAATGACTTTAAAGGGACCTGGAGCCAAACTATACCCTCTGTCTGTGCAAAGGCTTTCCTCCTGGCCGGCGGCTGCTATAGTAACACTGTTGTGCAAGGACAATGGGTGCAGCTTCCTCTTCCAGCTTCCTGTCTCCTGCCTCTGTTTCCTTTGCCCCATTCTCTTGATAGAACATTGGCTCTAAATGTGCCCATGCACTCCAACTACTCTGGACACACACAAACACACACAGAGGCAGACACATTTGACACGTTAAGGTCCCAAGTGTGTGTGACAACAATCCAAAGAGTCCTCCCCTCATCCTAACACAACTCCTCTCCTGGTCCCGGACTTACCCAATCACTTCCCAGCAGTCAGGAAGTGGCCCGGTCACCCAGCCAATCAGCAATTGCACTGACCTTTTCTTCCTGCAACTCTATTGTTTGGCCACACAATAGTGCAGACACATAGGCTACCTGTCAGGCTGCAAGGAAACACAAGCAGTAAAATCCCCCCCACCAAAAAAAAAAAAAAAAATGCTTAAGAGCATTGCCCAATTAATCCACTTTTAGTAAAAGAAAGATGATTGTCTTGAACTGAATACCCAATTAATCATAATAATAATGTCTCTAGTATAACACTTTGTGTCAAGAATGTATAATTAATTTATTCCTAACAAGTAATTCCCTATATCTTATGTATACTGATTTACAATAATACAGTGGAGTAGAAAAGTTTACATGCACCTTTTGCACTATGTGAACAAATGTCATGAGTTTTAGGTCTTTGTTGCTACAATGGAACCGTGCTTTATTCAGACTGGAGGGATCACACAAGAGACAATACCAATGAACTCAAAGAACAGGTGTTAGATCATCAAAATAGAAGAATGACTGATATCTATATGTGTTGTACCTGAATGTTCAACAATATACATTCACCATCACTAATAGCTGAACAGATGTTCCTCAGCTAAACTTTGTTCCCATGTCTAGTCTCTGCCTACTAGACTCATGTGTCGTTAGACTTTTGACTAAAACTCTTCTCAGAGCTTGTAGCGTTTCTTCAGAGTCACAATTTTAAGGTACCCTGACCTGACTTTAAAGCATAAATGTCTGCAGGTTCTAATAGTACTGAGGTTATGAAGGCAATTACTTTTACAATAAGATTGGTACGTCACATGGACTCAAACTTTTTTCCAGCTTTTTTATTGTCATTGTCATTTTTATTGTCATTAAACTGTGACAAGTATGATGCAACGAAATTAACTCTGCATTTAACCCATCCCCTTGGGGAGCAGCTGGCTGCCATCATTGGGTGCCCAATGAGCAGTGTGTGGTTAAGGGTCTTTTTGCTCAGAGACGCGAGTGGCAGTCTGTGCGAGTGGGGCTTGAACTCAGAACCTTAAGATTCCAAGTTCTATGCCCTAACCACTAGGCCACCACTCACCCTCAACTTTATTGATATCACATTGCATTTAATCCATCCCTTTGGGAAGCAGTGGGCTGCCATTGTGCGGCGCCCGGGGAGCAATCAGGGGTCTTGCTCAGGAACCAAGAGTAGAGGCAGTGGGAATCAAACCATTTATATGCAACCTTCTCAGAGCACAATGCACCACTCTAACCCACTAGGTCAACACTCACCACCAAGCTTACTGAAATTTCCAGCTCTCCCCATTTTAATAAACCAAATACCATTCAGAAAAAAGTTTTTTGGTCAAACAAGACAAGACCTGACAACTGCAAAATGAAATGTGAGAGAGTTAAGTCAATGAGCGTCTTTCAAACTTTAGAATGCT